AGAGAGAGACAGACAGACAGACAGACAGACAGACAGACAGACAGACAGACAGACAGACAGACAGACAGACAGACAGACAGACAGACAGACAGACAGACAGACAGAGCAACAGGTAGACAAATCACACACGATTTCTCAAGATGCGAAAAACCCTGAAAAAACAATAAGAAAAGGCAACGGCCCTGGAGACAGACAATGTAAGCAGGTCGTTTACGGAGGCTCCGCAAAAGGAAATGCCATAAACAATGACTACAGTGAATAACAGGCAAGGCAGCATGCTAGTGGTAGAAGGAAACGCTATGCACAACAGATAGTGCCGCGTTTGCCACGGGCTGCTTAGGAGCGCAGCGCAATGAGCAGTGAAAGAATTACCAGTCACAGAGCCGAAACTTTGTGTTGCTCAGCGAATGACAGCGAAACTCTCCGACACTTTGTTTAACTGTGTACAGTGACAATTACGCAAGCTCCACAACACGTGATGGTCACAACAAACACAGTCATGGAGGACATGCGTACATGTGAACACCCTCTTCCAACTGATCTCCATGGCCCCAGTTGACAAAATATGCAAGTGGGAGCACTTCACCCACCTCTCAGCCAGGCCTCCCGAGGGATCATTTACCCCCATATCAAAAACTCATCTGGCCTGGTGGGCCTGTGGGAGTCAGTCACGCCACGCTGTTCACGGGCTGTTCACGGGTGACAGCACTCCAGTTCCCAATTCCTATGCGCCTACACGAGTGCACCTACCTTCATCCTTCCACTATGTACAGCCTGGGCAGCTGATCCCTTCCTGTCAGTAGCCCCTGCACACGAATTGTCAGATTGGCACACACCTCCATTGTGCACGCTTAAGGATACTTCAACACGTTTAGTGTTGGAGACAATTTTCATGCCAAACCACTGCCGCACATGGCTTATGTTAAGCTAATGTGTCTGCTGGTGGGATCATGGTCCTGTGCCGACATTCTTGTGACAAAGATAGTCTCCGCCCATCATGTGAGATTTACTCCAATACTGCTGTCTCAAAGCAACAACTCCCTCCTCCGCTCTCCTTCTCCTCAGCAGTTTCAGAACCTACCCCCCCTGTAACCCCCAAACCTTCCTAATGCTGGCCCTACCGCCATTCTCCCTGTGTTACCATAATGAAATGGCAAGACACATTTGTGTATTGAGAAACACAAAGAGCCCTTGGTAAGGAAGGCTGGAACAGCATCTGGCAAGCAGTACTTTCGTGGAGAGGAAACGCAGAAAAGGAAACAGAATACGCACCAGAGTACATTCCCCGGAATTTCTTGCTATCCTGCTGTGGAGCCATCGGTGTCTTGCGCTTTCTCCGAGGTTCTTCTACTTCCTCTCGAGTATCAACATGATCATCTCCTTCCCTTTTGCTCTCCTCATCTGCCTCTTCATCCACCTCTCCTTCTTCCTTTTCTTCTTGTATTAAAGCCTGTTCTTTCTTCACTCTCTCAACTGCCCTATCCCTCACTTTTTCTTTATCCTGCCTTCTGGCTCTTTTCGCATTCCCCTCTGGGCCAGCATCATCCACTAGCTTCCTTGCCATCTTCTCCTCCCTTTCTCCAGTCCCACCACCCTTCCTTCCTTGTGGGCTAGCTATGGCAGCAGGCCCAACTGATCCTTCCCCTCCTCTACTTATGTCAAGAGACACATTGACTGACTTAGTTCGCCTGAGAGATTTCTTCTTCGTGTTTTCATTCCCTACGCCGCCCTCCCTACTTGAAGAGTCTGGCTCCATGTCTACATCTTCTTCACCTGGCGAATGGGTTTGTTTTCTTGTGCTTGCTCCACATCCAGCCACCACAGCAGCAGTCGATGTGGTACCTCCAGACCTCTCTCTCGCCACAACCTGCTCTGGTGAAACTTCGTTCGATTCAAACAATGCTCCCCTTCTTCTCTCACTAACCTCAGATCCTTTGCCAGCCGTTGCCCCATCCTTCAGAGATTTGCTAACCAGCTTGCGAGGCGTTGACCTAGCATTTTCCCTCTTAGGGGTGCTCTCCGACCTGTCCGATGTGCGCTTAGCTCCTATACCTACCTCTGCAGCTCCACCCTTGACCGTTCCATTGCTTGACGTCATGGCTTCACCATCAGTTTTCCGGACAGGAACTGCCCCAGCATTCTCCACTATCGGCCTGGCCTTTACCTCCTGTCATGATCACAAAGGGGGATGGAGGCGAGCAGAAATAAATAGAGAGGACAGAGGACAGAGGACAAGAGGAGAAGCAGAAGAAGAGAGAAGGAAAGAGAACGAATGAGAATAAAGTGAACAAAAGAGAACGGGAACAAGAGACGACAGAAGACGAGAGAGGAGAGGGAAGGAGAGGGAAGGAGAGGGAAGGAGAAGGAGATAAAAGGAGAAAAGGAGATAGGACAAAAGGAGAGAAGGAGAGAAGAACAGAGAAGGACACACAAAGAAGGAGAGAAGGAGATAAGAAAAAGAAGGGCAGAAGGTGCGGGAGCAAACGATGACAGAAGAGAACAGAAGAAAACGACAGAGAACAAGACAGAGTCAATGGCAACACAAAAAGGATGCTCTTGAAGCAAACGAGCACAGGCAAGATTGGTTGTATGAGACTTCGAATCAAGCACTGTTGGGCATCGGGAGTTACAGCAGCCTCGGCCTCTATAGTGCGATGAGCGTGAATGGACTGCTCAGAAGAAAACAAGCAACTACAGCAAAGACTTATCAATTCGTATTCAGAACTAGCATGTCCACTCTGACAGTGAGGGTTGCCTGAGAAGAGTTTGAGATTAGGGGCACACTTGGTTCTCATACTTACGATCAGGTAGATTTAGTTTCGTCTACAAAATTTCAGGACTGCTTTTTCCATGTTTTATATGCCTGTCTTCACAGGAACACTAACTTAGACAACCACTCGTTCCCGTACTTGACAGAGCTGCAACATCGACCAACTTGTTAAATTACGACGCGCACTATCACAATCCCAATTTATTACATTACCACGCACACTATCACAATCCAGAACAGGTGCCCCACTGAAAGGCAGAACTCTACTGCTAATTTAAACCTCGCAGAGACTAACCATTGCCATGGTAAAGGAAAAACAAATGGGAGTCTGTACCCTTACCCTCCAGCTCTTGTTGCTGTCCTGCTGAAAACCATTGCAAGGAGTCGGCTGCAAAGATGGTGAGGTCTAGAAACTGAGACCTATCAGGACTTTCTTCATCAAATCTCAACAGGAATATTGTCAGATAAACAAGGGACGTCCCAGTGTGAAAATGTATCAGTCAAGATTCCAAACCCTCTTGATAGTCAACCACCAACCCATATTGCCGCGGTTACCCTTCCCACCACCCACCCTTCCAAGAACAAAAGGGAGGCCAAATAAGAGCATAAACTTCCAGTCATATGCAGCACTTTGATCGCAACTGTATCCACTACGTGGACTTTGAGCATCCCACACCCTTTTGAAACCCTCCAAAAACACCCCCGGGGGCACCACTTGACAGAAGCAAAATTGTTTGCAGCACCAGACTGGCTCTTCCCACCACACACCCTGCCAAGAACAAAAGGGAGGCCAAATAACAGTATAAACTTCCAGCCAACAGTACCTCAATCACAACTGTATCCACCACACGACTTTGTACCATCCCACACCCTTTCCAAGCCCTGCCAGAACAGTGAACACCCCCGAGAGCACCACTTGCCAGAAGCCAAAAATGTGCACAGCACCAGACTCACCCCTTGACGTGTCCGTTGCAGTTTGCGTGTTGAATGACTTGGTGACACAGGTTCTCTGACTGTTTCCTTCTCACTCTTGGAACTTTCGGGAAGCTTATCCTTTGGCTTTACTTTATCTTTGGCCTTCGGTTTCTCCTTCTCCTTCACTTTCTCTTTGTCTCTACTTGCCTTGTCTTTGTTCCCTTGCCCCCCATCCCCTCTGCTGCCTCTCCGGTTTTCAGGCGATGCTGTAGGGTTTCCAGCTACTTCCCGGTCTTTATCTCTTACCTTGTTACTCTTCTTCTCCTTTTCAAACTTCTTCCTCTCAGCGTCTCGTTCCTTATCTCTACTACTCTCTTCCTTCTTCTCCTTATCCCTTTCTCTTTCTCTTTCCTTTTCTCTTTCCTTTACTTTTTCCTTTACACTTTCCTTTACACTTTCCTTCTCTCTTTCCTCTTTCTCCCTTTCCCTGTCTTTCACCCTCTGAGAATCCTTTTCTTTCAACCTCTGGTTCTCTCGTTCCTTCTGCTTCAAGCTTTCCTTCTCCTTCAATCTCTGACTCTCTCTTTCTTCTCGACGATTCTCACGATCTGACACCTTTTGGTCCCTCTCAAACTCCTTTAACCGCACTCTCTCCTTCTCTCCCTCTTTGTCCTTCAGTTTCTCCCTCTTGCCCAACCGCTCCCTCTTGTTCTCCTTTTCCACATCCTTTTCCTCCTCCTCCTCCTCCTCCTTTTCTTTTTCCTCTTTTTCCCTCTCCTCCTTTCCCCTCTCCTCCCTCTCCCTCTCCTTTTCTGCAGTCATTCCACTGAAAGGGCCTCGGGGGGTCCTCCTCCCTGTTGGTCGACGCCCTGCGAGCACACGAGAAACAAAGAAAAGCATCACATAAATATAACAAGAACAAATCTGGTCATATCAAATCCACTGTAAATACACAGAAGAACACACAGATTAATCTGACAGATCTCTCTCTCTCTCTCTCTCTCTCTCTCTCTCTCTCTCTCTCTCTCTCTCTCTCTCTCTC